TGTTGTGCTCGCTAGCAGTTCGCTAGGTGAGCAAGTGGCGAACGCTCGCTAGCAGCTCGCTAGGCGAGCATGTAGCGAACGTAGCAGGATGGGTTTTCCCTGCTGTTGTGTGCTGTTGTGGCTTGGGGTTTTGGTGGCGATCGAACCTTCTTTGGTTTAATAGCTTGTGTGCTGATTTGTGATGTGTTGTAGTTAGCCGTATGGCGTGAATCCTAGTTTATGGTTGTGAAGCATAAGTGTGGCCGGTTGGCAATTTTGTGCATTTGCTTAGTTTGAATAGAAATGCATGAGGAATTGATTGTGAATGTGAGCCATGTTTGAATGGTGTGAATGAATGATGAATATATATGTTTTGTGATACATATATTTTGAATGCATAAATGAATATATGCGATAAATGTGAAGAATGCATGAGTGTGTTTGTAAACATATGTGCATTTCATGAGTGTCATGAGTCATGTCGCATGTGAAACATCGTGTGCCCATGTGGGGTGTGAGCGATGGTTATTTCTTGATTCCGTAGTGAATCTACAGAAAGATTGTGTGCCCGTGTGGGGTGTGAGCAATCGGATTGTGTGCCCGTATGGGGTGTGAGCAATCCTGAAACATCGTGTGCCCATGTGGGGTGTGAGCGATGGGTGAACATCGTAGGCCCGACGGGGAGTTACTTCGGTAACGAGCGATGATTCCATTTGGTTCTTCAATTGAACCTGTTGAAATGAGTCGGTACCGCATTTGCATCTGCATAGAGTCGTGAGTCGGTCTCTATGAGTTGCATGTTAACATCTTGCATGATGTATGGTGAATGAACATAAGTGTAAATGTTTATGTGAATTGTGGATGATTGGAATGATTGGTATGCTTGAAGATATATATGTATATGTGAATGTATGTATATGTATGTTTTGTGAGTTTATGAATTAATATAAACATGGTTGACGCATATTGGATATGCTTGGTGTTATATTGTAAATGTTATGTGGAAATAATGTGTATGTGTAGAAGTATGATTGGCGAATATGCCCAGTTACGAAATGTGCATTGAGGTTTATATAATGAATCGTGGTGAGAATGTGAAGTATGTGTAATTTGTATAATATATAATTTTATGCATTGACTGTTATGATATTGTTTCTCACCCTTCTGCTGCTCTATAATGCTCTATGAGGCATTGCAGAGTAGGTTGCTGGAGGTCCTTTTTGTGAAGCGAGTCTTCATTGTTTTTGGTCGTTGGCTCTGATATGTAACATCTGGGTAGTTAGGAAGCCTTTGGCTCTTTTTGGAGATACAAGTGTTTTGATTCTTTTGTGATACATCTGTGTATGTATCTGCTTATGGATGATTTGTAAACATGAATTAACTGAATGATGTATATATGTTTATATGAATGAATTGATTCAATGTTTAGATGTTTCTGCTTTTATTCTAAATGTTGAGATGTGGGTTTTAGGACTAAGATTTCTTTGTTATGACTTGTCCATTGTTGCATATCTACTTGAGCAGGTGTTGTATGCGTTTAATTTCATGATAATGTGATGCACCTCTTTTATACCATGTTTAAAATAAACTCTGATGAAATTTATATTGAGTGTCTAAATGATTTATTCAATTATTTGGGGGGATAGGAAGGGGGTGTTACAATTACTTTTTATTATTTAATTGGTTTATCAGTATTTAACAATTTTAATATGTATCTTATGGATGTTGTTACTGCTTATTTGTATGGATCACTTGATATTGACATATACATGAAAATCCCAGAAGGATTTAAAATGTCTGAGACATCAAAACCTATAGAAATGTATGCAATTAAGTTACAAAGATCATTGTATGGACTAAAACAATCAGGGCGCATGTGGTATAATCGGCTAAGTGAATATTTGCTTAAAGAAGGCTATGAAAATAATCCTATTCGCCCTTGTGTTTTTATAAGAAAAACAATATTCAGTTTTGTAATAATTCTTGTTTATGTTGATGATTTAAATACCATTGGAACTAATATAGAAATAAAGGAAGCAAGAGATTACTTAAAGAAAGAATTCGAAATGAAATATTTGGGAAAAACAAAGTTCTGCCTTAGTTTACAAATTGAGTATGCTAAAAATGGTATATTGGTATATCAATCAAATTATACAGAAAGGATATTGAAAAGGTATAACATTGACAAAGCAAACCCTTTAAGTACTCCAATGATGGGTAGAACACTTAACGTTAAAAATGATCAATTTAGATTTAAGGAAGGTAATGAAGAAGATCTTGGCTCCGAAGTACCATACCTCAGTGCTATTGAGGCACTCATGTACCTTGCTAACTATACAAGACTTCATATAACTTTTGCAGTTAATTTACTAGCAAGATTCAATTCACGTCCTACAAAAAGACATTGGAAATGAATAAAACATATATTTCGATATCTTCGAGGTACAATTGACCTTGGTTTGTTTTATCCTAACAATACAAAACTAGTTTTGATTGGTTATGCAGATGTAAGATATTTGTCAGATCCACATAATGCTAAATCAGAGATCGGATATATATTTACATATAGTAACACTGCAATATCATGGAGATCACAAAAGCAAACACTTATAGCAACTTCTTCAAATCATGCTGAAGTAATTGTCCTTCATGAAGCAAGCAAAGAATGTAGATGATTACGATCGGTAACTAGACATATCCAAGGAGCATCTGATTTACCAATTGATAATAATCCAACAACTTTGTATGAAGACAATGCTGCATGTGTTACCCAGATGAAAGAAGGTTACATCAAAAGTGACAGAACGAAGCATATCCCTCCAAAGTACTTCTCATTCGCACAAGAACTCGAAAGAAACAAAGAGGTTAATATTCAATATATTTGTTCTAGTGATAATATAGCAGATCTCTTCACAAAGGTACTTTCTACATCAGTTTTCAAGAAACATGTACAAAATATTGGAATATGTCACCTTCGAGATCTTTGAAGAAGAACAAAACGTGTTCTGTTGAGGGGGAGCATCATGTTGTACTATTTTTCCCTTATTAAGGTTTTTATTCCAATAGATTTTTCCTAATAAGATTTTTAACGAGACAATATATGTTCCCATAAGTTTCTCTTTGATAAGACTTTGATGAAACACCGTAATAGATATTTCAAAGGGGGAGCGTTATATTATTATTATTATTATTATTATTATTATTGTTGTTGTTATTATTATTATTATTACTATTATTATTATTATGGTAGAAATATTATCTAAATAGTAATGACAAATTATTGTAGATGCATGATTTGTCAAACTTAAAACAGTAAGTCTAATTATTATATTAGTGTAATAGTTACATTTTTAGTAATATAAATATTACCTTTGACTAATGTAAAAACACAAAAAAAAATATTTTAAAAATATAAGTAAAATATTTTCCCTTATTCAATCTTTTCATCTAAACTTAATATTTAATACTAATTTAATAACTTATATTAATTCATAAATATTAACAAATTTTCAAAATTCAATTTTTCTCTAATAGAATTACAGCTTTCAAATTAGGGGGTTGGGGCCTAAATTTTAAGGCCCTAAAAATATAGGAGACTCAAAATCTTAAAGATAAATGAACCCTAAAATAAGTAGGTCATCTAAACTAAAGGTCCCTAAAATTAAAAAAAGGTCTCAAGGCCCCAACATTTTAAAAAAGTTGAGTCTTTTAAAAAGAAAATATATATTTTTTAAATGATTTTATTTTTCAGAAAAAATGAAATTTTTTTATTTTAAAAAAATCACATTTTTAATTTTCGAAAAAAATCATTTTTTTTCAAAAAAATAAATTTTGTTAATTTTTGAAAAAATCGACTATTTTTAACTTTCAGAAAACATTATCTTTTATATTTTCAGAAAAATCGACTATTTTATTTCAGATTTTTTTTTCAAAAACATGACATTTTTTCGAAAAAACTTGAATTTTTTATTTTTGAAAAAATCTACTAATTTTATTTTGGAAAAGAATCAACAATTTTTAATTTTAGAAAAAATTGATTTTTTTTATTTGTCGAAAAATCAATTATTTTACAGAAAAACCAATTTTAATTTTGAAAAATATCGACTGTTTTTTACTTTTGAAAAATCGACTATTTTTGTTTTCAATAAAAATTAAATTTTTTATTTTTGAAAAAAATCGACTAATTTGAACTTTAATTAACCTTTTTATCTTCGAATTTTTTATCTTTGAAAAAGTCTATTTTTTTTTGAAAACAATCGATCTTTTTTTATTGAAAAAAGATTAACTTTTTTATTTTTCAAAAAACACTTGAATTTTTTTATGAAAAAAATTAAATTTTTAAAAAAATATTTTTTACTTAGAAAAAATTAATTTTTAATAATATTTATTTTTTATTGAAAAAACTAAAATAATTTATTTCAAACTAATTAGATTTTGAAATTTTCAATTAGGTTTCATAAAGAGCAAAATTTTAAAAAAAATTTAAAAATAGACTAAAAATATGTTTATGTAATAAGAAGCCTTAAAAAAAGGATCGATAAAGAGATTAAATATTAAGACTTTCTTATATAACATACACCATAGATAATACGAGATATATTTTAGATTATCGAAAAAATGTAGTGTTAGGAAGTCGGCATGATGAAAAATCTCCTTTTTTTTTAATTTTGTTCCTTGTCTCCAATTTTTTCTTTTTCTCTTTCGGATCAAACCGGGCCAAGGAACAGGTTTTTAGTTTACATACCCAGTACTAAGTATACTACATATACTTACTGAATAATAAATAATAAAACTAAATAAAAAAACAAAAAACAAAGGTTCAAGAGCAGCCACACCTACCCCCACCCAAACCCACGTGTCTCTTGTGCATTCTTTATTTTAAATCTTAAACCCAAAATCAACTCAAAACCTAACTACCACCTATAACTCCTCTTTCATTGCACTGCACCTTCTTCAACATTGTTCTCTCCACCCGCCTATAATTCCTTCTTCCATTCTAACCCTAAAATTGAACCTCCACCATGACTTCCACTATTCCCACTTCACCTTCCTTCTCCATTCTCTCCTTCAATCCCACAATCACCAACACTCCTTCTCAGTTTCCCCCTAATCTCCCCCTCCGCCCCCGCCACCGTCGAATCACCGTCAAAGCCCACTCTTCCAACTCCACTGTCGTTCACCACCTCAAAAACATCGCCGGAGCAGCAGTCTTCGCTGCCGCAACCGCCACCGCCGCCCTCACATTTTCATCTTCCCCCGCCAGAGCCGAACCACCGCCGCCTGCACTCACTGAAGTTCTCGACGAAATTGAAATCGAAAATGAAACTGAAACAGACACCGTTCTCGCCGAAACCGGAACAACATCGCTTCCGTCCAAATTCGTCGAAACAAACGATGAATCACCGGAAGCTCTGAAGTCTCTTCTTCAACAGAAGCTCGAACTCGGCGAGAACGAAGAGGCATTAAAGATCCTCAAACACTTGATCTCATCACAGCCAGAGGTAACAGATTGGAAATTCCTTGCAGCAAGGTTGACTACCGAAATGGGAGATACCGATAGCGCTGTAAGTTTTTATGAGGAAATCTTAAAGTCAAACCCGCTTTCTTTCGAAGCGCTTTTTGAAAATGACCTTTTGATGGACCGATGCGGAGAAGGGGATGCTGTAATTGAAAGGCTTGCAGATGCTATGAGAGTTGCAGTGGAAGACAACAAGGAAAAAGAAGCTAGGGATGTGAAGTTGTTAATGGCTCAGATTCTGTTTCTTCAGAAGAAAGTTGATGAAGCTTTGAGTATGTATGAGTTATTAATCAAAGAAGATCCTAATGATTTTAGACCTTATTTTTGCAGGGGAATGATTTATACATTGCTTGATAAGAATGATGAAGCTAAAGAGCAATTTGCAAAGTATAGGGAATTGTCACCTAAGAAGTTTGAGGTTGATGGTTACTTAAGAGCACCTTTGTCAAGGATCAAAGATTTTGGTACTGATCAAAGCTAGATTAATAATAGTAGTAAATTAGTTATAAGCTTATAGCTATTATAGTAGGATTAATGATTTATCTGAGGTCTTTTTGCAATTGGTTGGAATAAAACAAGGATGATTCTTCTCTTTTCCTGCAATCTTGATAATATGGGTGGGATGTTACAAACAACGTCAACAACCAAGTCTTTTCCCACTATTGGGGTCGGCCACATGGATCAACATTTGTCATAATTTTCTATTCAAGATTATACCGGTAGGATGTTAAAAGAGATTAATTGTATGTTTAGTGATAGAGATATAATAAGGATGACAGTTGAATTCGTTATACTGAACTCTACTGCACTTTTTGTGTAGTTGGTAACTAGTTTTTGAGGATGATTTGTAATCTGCATTTGGAGGGGTAGTTCCCGGCCACATGTTGTCACAAAGGCTTGCTTTCTTGCTAAGCTATTATTTATTAAGGAAACTTTATTTATGCCAACTGAATTCCATTTTTGCATGCTGTTTTGCGTGAATGTTGGATGTTGTGGTGTTCGGAACAGTTGTTGGATACATAATCTTGCTGATTAATTGTTGCTGCTTCTTTTTTTAATCTGATTTTGTGCAAGATATCTGCAATCTCGTAAATATTTGAAAATACAGAACAATCATCCGACTCTAGTTTATATTATCAGGGATTACAACCTGAACTGTTTTAACTGTCAATTAAGTTTTTGTGTATTGAATAGTGAGAATCAAAACATACACACGTGTATTAGAACTATAATTAGATAAAGGTCAGTAATTAGTTTGTTAGTCTATATAAAAGGTTAAAGTAATCACTTTGTAATTTACTTGGTTGTTTCAATATATTTCACTTTCTAAACTATATTTTACTGTTTCAATATATTTCACTTTCTAAACTATATTTTACTGTTGGAGCATATGTCTCTCTTACTGCTGGAGCATATGTCTCTCTTTCGCAGTCTCTATCAAAGTTTTGGAACAGTTTGCTTCATTGGCTATCAGGATTCAACTAGCATATGTCTCTCTTTCGCAGTCTCTATCAAAGTTTTGGAACAGTTTGCTTCATTGGCTATCAGGATTCAACTTAAAGTAAATTTAAATGTAAGAAACATTCAAAACGTTTGAGTAACTCTTGCTCTAACACTTCTTTTAAACATTTTTTATTGAGTGAAATTCTTGTGTTACTCATTCCCACTATAGCTTATATTATGGTGTTATGCATTGTAATAATATAACTATCGAGAGAAATAGCGAAGAGAATTCACACTTTCTCGAGTTTTTTTTTGACTAAAGTACCTCATTTCTAAAATATAAATATCACATTATTCTACTTTGAAAATAATTCTCAAATGCACTTATTTTAGTATATGCTTCACGGATTGAAATGACAAGCAGATGAATAATTTTTGGAACAAAGGTGCTCGGCCGAGCATTTAGAGTATTTTATTATTTTTTAAAATAATTTAGATTATTTTATTGTTTAAATAGTTTAAATAATAATTTGAATTATTAAAAATATATTTTATTAATTTAATAATGTTCTACTCATTAAAAATGATTTTTTATTAAATATTATAATTAAATTTAATAATTAATATATTAAAAATATAATTTATTCATTAAAAATTATTATATTTTAAATAAAATTTAAACTATGATTAATATTTTCTACAATAAATTTAAATGAACAAAATATTTTTTTATTGATTATTAACAAATAAAATATATATCATCAATAATGACTGTCTGTTTCATACCTAGTGACCTTTTTTGTTCGTTTCCCTTGTCCAACTATTCAGCTGTATTTTTTGGAGGTGATGAAGATGAATCAAAAGACTAATCTTGATCATGATGTGTTGCAAGGGCCCCGCTTGTCTTGAAGGGGGGTCCGCAAGAAGGTCTCAAATGTTATAATTTGGCATTTCTATTAGTTGTTCCTCCGTGAGAAAAAAATATTGGAATGAACGCGATGGTTGTGTGTAGGTATCGGGTTAGGTATGTTGAACAGGTGGATAATAGACATCATCAGTCGTGAAGGTAGGGGTGGGCTGAGAGAATGAAGTGTTGAAGGTTTGTTATTGAAATTGGGGGTTTGATTGATCGAAGTTTGGCGGAGGAACTTGAGTGAACTGTAAGGGTGGTCGATGGGTGGATTGGTGTTGATATTGTTGGTTGTAGTTGTAGCAGTAGTTTTGTTGAGGGATTGAAGTGTGAGGAGTTTGGTGTTGGGATGAGGTGGCATAAAAGGTGTGTTGTTGGGTGGTCTGTGTGTGATGGTATGTTTGTTGAGCGGATGAAGATGCTTGTCCTTCAAATTGGAATGTGTACATTGGTGGCACATCCGGATGTATTGGTGCGACAGTTGGTTGAGTTGAAGATGATGCATGTCTACGAGGGTAGTTCAAAAATTAGTCGGGAGTAATATGCACATAAGGAGTTGGATGAAACCAATTCAAATACTCTCGACTTGGCTTATGTTCACCAACTACCGCGTCCCCCTGCAAGAATAAGTGTCTTCTTTGTTTCCATTCTTTCACCTCATCTTTGTTTAATTCTTGCCAATGAACTTTTTGGCCTTGTTTCATCGTTAATTCGTGGTGTTCCCTTAGATGCCTTGGTTGGGAAGAGATTCATTGTTCAAACTCGAACTGAAGTTTGACCCTATTTGTCTGATGCATTTCCACAGTAAAGAAATAAATAAGATAAGTCGTCGCACTCCAGATTTGGCTATCTATACTATCGGGCACTGGGAATTAAAGGTACGGTCTCCATATAAATTGTCACAAAAAATAAAGGTTAGAATACAAGTAAGAAGTCTATAAAACATATAATTCATATAGTTTCAAACTCACGTCTTTTTCTTCCATGCGCTCGAGTGTGATTCGGTACCCACATAGATGAAAATGAGGATTATTTTCGTAATTCATATCTCGTTGGCACCATCTCGCATTAACAAAAAAATGTATTAATATTAGGTATAGTTGCATAAGAAGATAATAAAGTGCATTTTTATATTAGGAATACCTTTGAGCGTATGAAAATGACGTCTGCAATGTAGTAACGGGAGAAAACAATGGTATATGCTTGAATGCTCGAATAGTGAGTAGTGCAACACAACCACTCATGCTCCTGACATCTTTGAAGGCGATCTTGCATATATTTTTGTGCAATGTTGCCAGACAAGCTGAACCCTAATAATATGTGTTGCATTTTCTAGATCTCCATGAAAGGAATCCAAGAATGCAACAGATTGTGACTCTTGTCTGAGAACAACATAGTAACATAGTAGCAATGACAAGTAAAATATATAGTTTGGCTTGTAAAATATTATCTTCCTGGGTCGGGGGAAGATTTATTTTTTAAAGCTTCATATAAATTCTCTAGCCAAATAATCTTTACAGACCCTCTATTTTTATCAGATTCTTTAGGTTTTACCCCTAAGTTCTCCATGTAAACATCGATTGTTACATCGGTAGGACCATTAACAGCTTTTCTATCTACTCGGAGACCGAGTAAAATATTAACATCTTCTAATATTATTGTGCATTCACCGGTTGGTAAATGAAACATGTGTGTTTCCGGTCTCCATTACTCTAACAAAGCAACAACTAGGCTAGAGCCTACTTTTAAACTCCTTATTGTTGTGGCATTCGCAAAACCTGCTACTTTTAAATACGGGATCATTTCCTCACTTGGTTGGATATAAGTGTGTGAATGGACTCAGAACCTTACATTCTCCTGGAAAAGAAGGAAATAATAGTGAATGCAATATTTAAATAAACAATTACATTAAGTATTTAGAAACCTTACACTTGCTTCGATGTTTGCTTGTGTTCCATGGTGTGAGCCTCCCATCCACAACAAAGACATTCTGAATGAGTGAGTCAATGAACTTTTTTTTAGAAAGAGTGAATTATATAAGATGAAGAGTTGTGTTTGATTAATTTTTTTTACTAGTGCGGAATTTATATAGGGGTAGAAGTGTTTGTAACTTGTGAATGATAATTTAATTGATAAGACTACACTATGATAGATGTGATTTATCACTGCATGCCTTGGGAACTTTCTAAAGTACAGTGGAATGCATGCAACCCTAGAGAATCACTAGTTGGCCTTGCGGCATGCATGCAGACACATTTTTTGGAGTAATATGTGCTTGTCATTTGAATGGGCGAGCACTTTATTTCCACGTTGCTGCTCGCCATTTCAAGGGACGAGCATACACACACATACCACAAGTTTATCCTTTCAAAGGGCGAGCACATGCATGACACCATCATTTAAATTATTAGATGTAACACCCTTCTAAACCCCACGAAATATATATAAATAAATCAGAGTAATTATCATGCATCTCACAAAAGGGTGTCACATAAAATTTCAAAAAACACCACACAAACACCTGTCATGCTCAATAACACTTAAATAACTTCATGTTTTTCATACACTTTCACATTAGCATGTAGCACCAGATTTACTTTAATCATAATAGACATAATAAAAGTCTCATACTCATCTCATTCATAATCAATACTTAGGCTTAAAAGTCAATACTTCATATAATTCAAAATAACAATAACAGAATGAAGTAGAGTACATAAAGTATCTCTCAAAACATGAAATCGAAACATTCCCCAGTGTTACATAATCAGAGCATGACTCGACCCAAATAAATAAAGACACAAATCAAGCTACTCCAACGTCTATCTCGCGCTAGAAGCAACTCTACTCCTTGGAACTGAGCGATATCGTATAAAACATCATTCAAACTGAAGGGTGAGAATTCACATAATTATTGAAATTATAAGATAATATATAATTTAAGGCATACAAACATAATCACAATTATTCTCACACTTCAAAAGTTTCACCAACACAATATCATTCAAGTAACCATACTATTCACAAGTATATACACACAACTCCATAATTCACCAATTTATCAATTTCACATATCACACATAATCTCATAGCACAAACATATACACAATGAGACTCAATGCAACTCA